ATATAATGGAATAGATAAAGGGAGCAAGGTTTACCTGAACTCTGGCTTCTGTGAGATCGATTTTAAGCGCAAGTTCCTCTCTGAAAGAAATGGTAGTATTGCAGGTTATTAAACAGGAACAGATATGATCAATGGTTAAATCGTTGGCTTCTAGCAACCTCGGGGTATTTTAACAAATATAATAACGTTATCATTATCATTATATCCCTATATTCGTCACACGGAAATCTTTGTTTCAAACCTTTAGGCCCACTGATACCCAAATCCCTATAAGGGTGCCTGGGAGTTTCTATGAGAACAGAAAGCAAAAGGCGCATATGCCTATGGGTCCTGGTGGGATCCAGGAGAAAAGTTAATGTTAAGGGTCAGAAGATTTCCTAGAGGATGACCCACTCATTACGTGCCTGGTAATAAAAGTGTTTCTCATTAACACAGATAATGAAGATAAAACATTTAAATAGGTTTGATTTTAACTCTTTGATAGACAGGCGATTGAAGAGCATTATTATACAAAACAAAATAAAAAATAATTCAATCGCAGCAGATAATCTACAAACCAAGGTTAAAACAGTTTAATCTCTATAGCTTAGACCTTTTACACCAAAATTGTCTTAAGTTGTGCCCACATTATGAGTCTACTACTAGCGAAGCCGATTAATACAGAAAGCCATATAAATGCTGAAATAGTACCGGTAGATGTTAACGCGTTTCACATGATAATAACGACGATTTTTTTTTTCTAACCTTGTAAACACATCAGGGTAGTGTGTTTTGGTGAATGTTCTCTCCAATTCTTCCAGCTGAAAGCTTGTAAATGTAGTCCTGTACCTTCTCTGCTTCCGTCTGTCCTCACATCTTTTATGAGATCGATGACACTCATCTATTAAGTGATCCACCTCTATGACGTCACTCTCATCATCCGTCGTGCCTTGGCAGTCTTCAGAACTATGAAACTCTGCAATTTCTTCGCGGCTTGTTATGAAGTTGTTATTTGTTGGAATGTTCTTGGTTTTAGATTTATGCCTGCTTATGAAGCCTGTCTGTACATCTTGACTTTCTTGATGACTACATCTAAAATTACCAAGCTCTTTCTGCACATCATCCATTTCGTCCATTAGGGTGAAGGAATGCTTTCTAGAATTGGCCTATATACCAAATAAAATAAGAATTTAAAAATCAGACACAAGAGAAAACGGATGAAATAAATACATGGCCTAATCGTGTTAAGATACTACCTACTCTATTCATGTCAAGTCACAAATTTCTTCAATGAAATCCTGATGAAGGTAATTAACTCATAATTAATTATAGCTAATTACATTTGTGGATTAATTACAACCAAGGTTGACCAATATCCGTTTCCGTTTGCATTACAGCAATGAATACTTGGCCCATGCTATTATTTCCGGTGCTGATCGAAATACCAACAATCTAATTGAAATAAACAAATGTAATCATACGCTACGTTGGGTTTATTTCTATTCATATGGCGGACCCTGCAGGCAAGCCGAAGGAAACTCATGTCTACACAAAATAGGTCTACTGTACAGTATGTGATCATTCGTGATCAATGTCCGCGGATAATTGGGATACGATTTAACAAAATGTATCTGTTTCTATATACATGAAACAGCCTGTAGTGCAATAAAATGTTGAGTCTTTAACCCAGTGTTACATGTTTTATTTGTCTATA